CGATCAAACAGTGTGCACATTTTTTGGGACACCCTGTATTAGGTAGCAATGAGTTCCGATTGCCAAGCTTTTCGATATTATTGTTATAGGAAAGGTTCACTCTCGGAGTTACCGCAATCTTGACAATGGCCGTTCTCTCGCTGGTCGTAAGTGAGAAAGTGCCACATTCGTCAACTCATGTACCTCTCCTTGGTGAGTAATCCTAGCGCAGAACTTTCATTTTAAAGAAAATCCTGTCATTTCAGTGGCGTACTTTCTCTTCAACATGATATCCGTCTCGGTAGCCGCGATGACTACCGGACTTGTGATGAAAGTTCATCGAATGGGTCGGCATGGGCGCGAACCGGAAGAATGGATCTTGCGCTTGTTTTGTCTACGGCCAGTGAGGGTCCGGGTAAGATTATTGAAACATTTTACTTTTTTCACAAAATGATGGTTTTTCAGAACGGAATCTATACTGTGAATACTGGTGAAACACTTTTACGCTCGTCCTCCTACCTGAAAGGGCTAAATTCTGAGCTGCGCAAGTGCGAGTCTCAGCCACTGTCTGACAGAATCCCAGTGCTCGAATCGTACATCAAAAAACTTGCCAACACCTGCGAAAATATACAGGTGAGAAATTTTTTGCAATTATTCGCAATTTTCGTTCGCATAGCTGCTCTGATCCAAAAAGCTGGTTGACAACAATCAGCAAATGGCTTTTACTATGCTTGATGAAATCAAAGCGGCGATTCGACAACTGCCGACCATAAATTGTACGGAGATTGGCGTTAGAACGACGCTACGCTGAGCGGTGTGAGAGGTGATTGCGGGGTTCTGCAAAGACAAACTAATTACGAAAGCATCAAGGGAGGGTATGAAATGTCTCGACAAATCTCAATATATCTGCCGCAACGCTGATAAAAAATAACAACAGTAGCATTTCTGCTTGAGTCAACAAAAATATCTGGAAAAATTGAAACTGAATATTTGAGGAATTTTTCAAATAATTAGAATAACGAAGTCCTACATATTATTATGAGAATGCGAAAGTCCGCGTATGTTTGAGTTATGACTGGTAAATGCTAGAAAATTTGCAAACTTACTTTTCGACTTCTAAACTAATGGTAGTCTTGATATGAATCCAAAA